TATGTAATTGTGCAAAAGTGTTGCAGAGAAAGGCCCGAGTAGGCGGCGGGCTGTGTGCGGTGTGCGAAGGGTGGAGTGTGGTGGGCGGGTGGATGTCGAGGCAAAGGGTGCGCAAATGTAAATGGCAGCAAAAGTTGCGTATATTGTATCTGTGGAGGGGCGTGAGGCGGTGCTGGTACGCAGTTAACTCGTAAGTAACAGAAGTAGTTATAGAAATGACAGACATGCACGCTGCAGCAACTGCAGCTGCTCCAGGAGGAGCCAGAAACAACATCAAGGAGCGCACAGAACAGAGCACCAGCAGCACATCCAGGCAAACACACTTACGCACACAGAGAGCGACGTAGATAAAGACGTAGACAACGACGTGTCTCAGCGTTGACAAGCTGTGGATGAAGATGCTTGGCTGGGCTTGGCTCACTGCGGTGACCAAGACGAGGGTTTTGTAATGAAGCTGGAGACGGACGCGAAGGTGTGCTAACGAGCAGGCGACGCCACTTAAATGACAGCTGGGAGAATACAGATTTCGTTTTGGAAACAGAGCCCAAGTTGGAGTCGGAGTCAGAGACTGACTGACTGACTGACTGACTGACTGGATGACTGACTGTTTGACAGACAGATACGCAGCTGCCTGGCCACGTAAATCGTTTTGAAATGCAAGGTGAGGATTAGAGAAATGTGTTGAAGAAATTACGGAGAAATGAAAGTTAGTCTAGCACAGAGAGAGGGACAACAAAAGGAAATTGCTGCATCTGATTATAGAATGCGAGCTGAGCTCTTAGGAAACCCATTTGGGGACAACAAAAGCTAAAACAAATGTTGGGAGATAATACACATTGAAGGAGCACGCAGACTGCAGGAGTGAGAAATTACATGATTTAATAAATACATACATTCGCCAGGGTGGAATGGAATACATACATATGTACATATGTATATACTCAGATTATTAAATCGGATTTCATTACTGATTAGACATAATACAGGTATATTTTAGCAAGAAAAATGACTATTTTTGAAACAATACTTGCCTAGACATTTCCCAATAACACAGCTGTTGTATATTGTATTTTTAATTCAATATGTATGTATGTATATTAAAAGAATAATATCGAATAACATTTACATGGCAGAGGATAGCTCGGCTATCGTACTAACATTACATCACTATATTGCTAACAGTGCCATACCTAGCTTTAACAGTCCTGTTGCTAGACATTTGTCTCTCTCTAACACACGAAATGATGCATTTTTTCTGTAATTTTTTTGTTGAAATGAATATAAAATTTGAAACAGGCGCCTATTGTTGTTAAACCTGACCACTTAAGTTAACGGCTTACCCATAAATCGTATATGTTGATTCAATTTTGTTTTGCTTTTGCTGTATGTCTAATTAATTTGGCCACATTAATATTTACTGGACCCGCTGCAAATTTATGTCCGTGGGCTAATTATGCCAAGGGCTGTACCGTTGAGCGCACACCAGCAGCCACACACTCTCACACACACACATACACAGAGTCAGACACACGCGTGCATTGTTGCCTTCAGCATTTCCGCTTCATTTAAATTAAAAGCCTATTTAAATGTTAAATGCAAAAAAAGTGGCTTTTAATTTCATATTAAATTGTATAAGCAATTACCCAACGTAAATGCAATAAACATGGCGAATTTATTTTAATTTTCATACAAGCGTCCGGCTTGGCCGGCCAAAAGGCGCCATTGCGCCCAGTCAGCAGCGACAACGGCATCAGCAGCAACAGCAACATCAGCAATATCAACAACAATAACAATAACAAGTGCAGCGCAGCTGTCAGCGTGGCTGGTGCCGCTATAGTTAATGCTCAAAGCCTTTTACAAAATTAAAGTCCGAATTGGATGGCGAGCTAAATAGGTGGCCGTCGGGTGTCAGTTGCAACTGCAACGCAGCCTGCAATTGGCAATGGACTGCAAGTGTTTGCTATCAAATTAATTGGCACTAAAATTAGCACGAACTTCTGCTGCTGTTGGTGTTACTGCTCTCAGTGGAGGTGCTGCTGCTGCTGCTGGTGGTGCTGGTGGCGGTGCTGCTGTTGGCAACGGTTGCTGCTTTGGCTGATTTAGTTGCCACTTTTCTGCACACTCTTATCCACTTGGATCCAAGTGTCGGCCGCCTGCTGCGTTTTTCCATTTGCACTAAGTACACGGATTTTGCATTAATGCAACAGCAGGAGGAGCAGCAGGAGGAACAGGAGGAGCAACAGCAGCAGCTCCCGCAGTCCTCGGCGAAAGGAGACACTGCGCACTCACATGAATCATTCATTGATTTAATTACAATGATTGCCAAGCGCAGCGAATCGGGCAGGTGCTCGGCAGTCCCTGCGCCAGTTGCCACCTCTATCAAGTGTTTAATTAAAAGTGCTAATGCAAAATAAATAAGCGGAATAGCTGACAGGAAAAATCAATTTGTGCTAATAAGCACAGCCCTTCCGCTGCACAGTCAAGTTTCAAATTTATGCTCCACTCAGCAAAAGCAAAGTAGTTCTTTATCATTCATTTTTTCCTGAAGGTTCCACCGAAGTAAGGGTAAATATAAATTGAAATATTTCTGCAATGAACCAGTCCCTATTGATTGCATTGGAATTTTGACTATGGGGAATTTGTAGAATGTGTAGGATATTAAATCAAATGAACATTTCATTGAAAGCCACTAATTAACACAGAAATTATGATGCGAAAAGTTTGGTCAGTTGCCCAGGCAACGCCAAGCATAAGAATTTATAGTGTATATTTAAAAAGTAATACAAAAGTTAAACAAACGTTGTCTACATTAATTGCTTTTTTTTTTAATATTGATTTAATATTACTATTACATCTTATTGTTATATTATTGTTAGTGTTACACTACTCATATTGGGAAAGCTTTCGTTCTAATCGTCAATGGTATCGTTTCATTTCGTTCATCTTAATTCTCTCTGGCCATTCAATGCAAACCCTTTCACAAATGGCAATCACTGGGTCCACATTCCCAGCAGCCAGAGTGCTTGCTGATCAGCCAAGTGCTTAAAAGTCCATGCATATCTGGACAGGTGCAGCAGCAGCCGGCTGTCTTTACAAACAGAAATAGAATCTCAATCCGAATCCCGACAACCCTTGAGCCCTTCAGCCCTTCAGCTCGGCAGCAGCAATGGCATTTGCTTTTCACACACAGTGCCGACACCTTTTCGAATCGTAACCACTCAATGCAATGCATACAATAATATTTTTTTCTAATTTCGTGCAGTTCAACTTTGTGTGTCTGGCCCTTTCCTTGTCTGTCTGTGTGCGTGTGTGTGCTTGTCTAGCTGTGTGTAATGCTCTTTAATAGCATTAGTCGTGTTGCAAAAGGTTTAAGCCATTGCCCATGCGCTTCTTTTTGCACATTTGCTTGTTCTGCAGTGTCTTCGCTGCGCTTTCATGCCACTTTGATTTTACTTTGTGCATTTACCACGGACGTTTAATAGCTGAAAGGTAAATTGCACACAGTTTTCCTTCTTGCCATAGCAACAGCAATAGCAACAGCCATTGCACCGACATCAACAACAGCAACAACAGCTGCAGCAGCAGCAACCATTGCTATAAGGAAAGCAGCAACACTTCCGCTGCCATATCGTTGCTCGTTGCTCGTTGCTCGTTGCTTTGCTTTCGACAATGTTGTTGCTGCCGTTGTGGTTGATGTCGGCTAGCACGGAAATCATTTGATTTGCAATGTTCGTGCGCTGGAAGGCGATCAAAGCATTTTGCCAAAGCTGCGACCCAGACAACCAATGCAGCCAAAATATCAAAAATGCATTTGCTAGCATTTCAAACGATTTGTCAACTCCAAAAGGTCGACAATTGCCAAAGATGTTTTTCAACATTGCTTTGAAAAGCCCCAAGTGATTAAATTTGCAAATATCTTACAATTTATTGCTTTGTGTAAATTAATTTAAAATGAAAGAAAAAGTAAGTCTATGAATCGAGAATGCCGAACGTGTTTATTTGAAAGCAAAGTTTCAATGTAATTAAACTTTATTTTCTTGTTGACATTAATTTATTATAGGTATGAGTCTAAATAAATAAGAAGTAGTCTTAATTGGTGCTTAACAAAATGATGAGCTCATTGAAATGAAAGAGTTTTTGCCCGTAGGTTATAAAGCCTATAACTATAACTAGAACACCGTTTTTTTTTTTTTAAATTATATTAATTAAAAATGAATTATTATATAATATATATTAATTCTTTTCTGACATTGCATAAAATTTCATATCAAATTTAAAGTCTCGTCTTACCATTTCCTCGTGGCACAATTCAGATGAGGTCGTCTTCCTAAAAGCTTTTATTCGTCTTCTGTATGTATTTGTATGTATTTTTGCATTGGCAGCTTAAGTTTGTGGCACAGCAAAAGTCTGTCGATTTTCGAGGGCCAATTTCCGGCGAAATCGTTTATCAGCATTATCGGTGCGTGCATTTGGCTATCGAAGAACTTTTTGCAGAATAAACGCGTATATAAATTAAGCTGCACTGACAGTCGAATGGCAAAGCTAAAATGATTGGCTTGGCTATAATTCAAATTAATGGCAGATTATGCCACTCAAACTCTTTTAAATGGCCAAAAACTCAGCCGAGCAGTGGCAGCAAAAGAGATGCCAAGCTTCTCGCTGCTCAGCGTCCTATGTGCCACATGCTGTGCGCAGCAAATTGCAACGAAAATAAAGAAGAAAAAAAACAAAAATTTCCTTGTGAATGTGCTCGGCTAGAAGATTTGCCTTAAATAGGATGAAATTGCATTGAGCCACATCATTGAACATACGGAATTTAGACAAACAATTTATCTTTCCTTCAACAGAAAACGAGAACAATCACACGCCTTAATTAATTATTTACAGGGTATTACAGATACAGCATTATGCTATTTAGTTAAACCGTATGATTTTATAAATATCCGACCAGCTGCCGGATTACGGGATCGGCTGTGATTGTGTGTGTAAATATATGTATGTGTATGTGTGTGAGCGGATGCGTGTATGTGTGGTGCGTGTGATATGTACTGCTGGCTGCGTTCAACACGACGTATGCGTAATCTGCGCTTAGCATGCGAAAAGTCAGTCATAAAAAAGCCATCAGCTTAAACTGTTGCGGCCATAAAGGTTAACACTGGCAACAAAGCAAATCGCAAACAGAAAACAGAAAAAACAAAAAGAAAAACAAGCAACTACAACATCAAATGGCTAAACTGCTTAAATTTTAACGAAACAATGAGCTGAAACGGTTTGTTCTGAAAGAGAGAGATCGTGCGATGGCGAGGGCGGGGGCAGCGAGACGAACACATTCCGATGCGGGGCACACGCAAGTGACGGCCATGAAAGCGTAAAAATGTAAAATTAACACGCAGCTTCTGGTTTTAGTTTTGTGGCAAACGGCAACTGCAGCTACAACACCAACAACAACAACAACAACAACGACAACAATTTTTCACAAAACAACAACTGCAGCTGGCAAACCGCAGCCATAAAAACCACACAAAAGCAAGAATGAAGTTGTTGCCGCTGCTCACTGCTAGCCGCAAAAGCGCTTGAAAAATATGTTAACCACAGTTAAAACAGCGCCAGGTCAAGCGTGCAGCGCGCACAATCACACACACAAGCGCACACACACACACACACACACAGGCAGAGTGAGTGCCAGCAAGGAAGAGACACGTGCGGCTGCCTTAAACGCTTGGCATGTTGACAAATGTTGCAGTCGACGCCAAATGAGCAGCACAAGCCTGACGCTGACCTCGCAGTCGCAGTCGCAGTCGCAGTCGCCGTTGACGTCTCTGTCGCTGGTAGTTTTAGTTGCGCCTGAAAGCACGCTGCACTTTTTAATGCCTCTACTCTGGACTGGTGAGTGATAAGCTCCGCCAACGCCACCGACTGACATTTGTTTTAATGCAAACGTCATCGTGTGGCAGCTCTTGGCTTGGCTCCTCACTTCTCACTGTTCACTGCTCACTGCCCACTGCTCAGCTCAGCTTTTTGGCAAGTGTTAAAATTTAAACACACCCATGACATTATCAAACTGTAGGTGTGACGAGTTGGCTCGCTTTTGCTTGACTGCTTGACTGCGATATGCTGCTGATTAGGCTAAGTAACATTGAGTAGTGGCAGTATATCAACATATATTAGATCTAAAATACTTCTAAGTAAACTATGAGATATCCAGTAAGTAAGTAAGATACATCTGCTTGTTTCATTTACCACTTGGAAAATCCGTAACAATTATGTCTTCTCGTATTGCTTGGTAACTAATTCATTTTGTACCTTGAATTAATATTGTCTCTCATTTATCTATTCACGGCAAACATATTAGTTGACAAAACTTAATTACATATACTGTTATAAATTCCAGTTATAGGACTTCAACCATTGCCGCTTTATAGCTTTAATTACATGCACATCTCTGCGGGCATTCCATAGTTCCCAAAGTCCCATGCAATCCCCCATTACTTACTTATGTGATTATCCTATTGAGAGCAGCATTGAGAAGGATTCACTCGGGCTCTCTGCTTTCAGTTGTTCAAGTCTGGTTTCTCCTCGTACACTATAAATTGCAGCGAACTGTAAATGACCAGAGCTCAGCTGGTCCTTGTCGCGTCATTTGATGATCCGTGTGCCGGATTATGTTCCTGTCACTCCACGACGCCGCAATGGAGCATGGAGTGTGTGCTTGAGTCTGCGAATCACAAAGCGCATAGGAAATTTGCCAACGTTGATTATTTGTGTGATGCGTACGCATTTATGTACTAGCTCGGCTGGGGTTTGCACCTGTGCGCCTTGCGCACGTCTCGTGCCTTCACAATTCATTAGGGAACGTATTGCATTTCAATTCACATTAGATGCACTCATTGGGCATTCAACAAACGTTTGCATTCAGCTCCAATTGTGCTGTGCAGTCGATTTTTATTGATGTTTTTAATCAGCAGCAGTTGCAGTTCTCAGATATCAGCCAGAAAGCAATTTTACTTGAGTTGAGCTCATTCAAGTTTTATTGCATTGCTCCCACATCCCGCAGATACACACATACACACATACACACACACACACACACACACACACACGTACTCACACCTATTAACAAAGTTTCATTTGTGATGATATATGCCTTTTGCTGCCTTTGAGATGCCTGTGCTAGAGGTTCCTTTCGGCTTGGCGTGCGTGTCTGCTGCCACGCCCACTCAACATTCACCCTACACTCTGCATGTGTAGAGCATCTAGCGGCGTCTGTGTGAATCCAATTTGATTGACGTTACGAGTTTCTGCTACTGATTCCAATTGCAATCAATTTACTTTTGTGCTCTTCGTATCCGAGTTGAAAACTTCATTAGAAATTTTCCTTTTTTGCCAGCCTCGACTGCCATTTTATTTTGCCTTTTCTCTCTATATGCGTGAGCATGTCGGTGACTGTGTGTGAGTACCAGAGTATGTGCATGTGTGTACTTTCCTTCTTCATTTTTTTTATTTCAGTTTCATCATTTGGCTTTTTCTGCACTCGTCACGTTTGTTTGTTGCTTGGCACTTTTCAGTTGCAGCTGCAGCTGCAGCTGCAGTTAAGTAGCCAAACTCACAGAGCAAGGAAAATGCGAGAGAAAAGGCAAACGAAAAAGAAAACTTGGCGTCATATGTGAAAAGTTCGTCTGCGGCTTGAGGTTTTTTCGATACGGGTAATGATTATAGCCGAAAGTTTGCCTAATATACAGCAGCAAATTTTGCCTTGACTCTAGCTTGAATAATGTGCGTTGCTCTCAAATATGCCGATCAGCAAACCAGAAGAAGCTATCGTCATAGTTATCAATTATAAATTAGTAGAAGCCAGCAGCTGATTAAACCGCAGTTAATTATTGTTACTTAAACTGAAGCCAACTATTCACTCGCTTCTATTGCCTCTGTACATTTTGTGATATGAAGTCCCATAAAATGCCATCAATAAATACAAAATAGTTCAAAGTTGTGAAACACATTTTACAAAATAATCAGCTAACTATATACGCGACGAGCACATAGATATAGACTAACTAAAACTTAGCTTAAGTCTTGCGATATTTTGCATCGGATGTTGATTTCAATATTTATATGTGAGCGCGATGTTCTTATAGATACAGACAATTATACTCTGAGACTTGTCCCCATAACTGATATATCGTTGATTAGTTAGTGGAGCTTATCGAGGTAATCGATTGGGAAGATCAATTTCAGCAAGACTTTATGCCACTCTCGCACTCATACCTTACATTGCTTATTTCTGGTGGTTTAGTCATCAGTATTGGTTTTTGTGAGACCCGATTATGTCTAGACAATAGAAACTATTTGACCTTTTATATTCAGTTTGACACCTAACTATTTTGAAATTATATATATATATATTTATATTCAACAAATCCTTATAAGACTTGTAATATAATTTGCATATAATTTTAGCGACGTAAAAAATAAGAAATATTATATGACTTATAGAATACATTTGCTTAATTGATATAATTATGAATTATCTCATAGCATAATTGCTAATAAAATATATTAATTTAACGAATTCATGAAATTGAATATGATTTATGGAATGTATTTTCTTAATTGATATATAAAATGGACTATATATAAATAATGAATTTAATTATAGTCCATTTTTCACGACTCATATTTTATTTAATATGCTAATTGAACAAAATTCATTCTATAGCTACAGTTTTTTTTACACATATGTCAATTAAGAAATCTTTAATAGTTAGAGTAGACTTTAAAACTTAACTAACAAGTCTTTCAGTTTAAATAGTTAAATCCACTTTCATTGCTAAATATTCCATTTTATGCTGCTCAGATAGATATGACGAAATATTTTGCATGGCCAGCTCGCAAATATTTTGCAATCTGCTGTCGCATGATTTTTCATGCTGGTTAACTTCATAACAATGTCATGTGAGGCGAGCGAGGATCCAGTTAAGTGTTTCGAGCCATATTTACAAGAGAAAATGAAATACTCCAGTGCATATATATTTTTATTATTTCAAATTAAACAACATGTGTTGGATTTTAATTTGCAACGTAAATAAACAGTATGCAGCATGTAAAACATTTTCCAGCTTCCACTGGCTGTTGCTCGTGTTGTTTTCCACTTGCTTTTGTACTTGTTGTTGTTGGACTTGGTCAGGTGTCGCATCAAATTGAACATCGTGCGCGCACTTTTTGTTGTTGCCGTTGTTGTCGTTTTGTTTTTATAGCCGCTTCGCTGCAAAATGGCAGCACAAAAGTGGCTCTAATATGTATAAACTGCAATAACAGCATGAGCTGCAAGAGCGGAGCGGGTGGTTGGCGGTGGAGCCAGCCATGAGTGGATACAACAAACGGTCAAGCAATTGACATGCCTATGAACCATCAATCACTTCAAACTGACCCGTCCGATCGTCCGCCCGTCCGCCACCCGCCGCCGCAGCCTCCCGACGCGTCCTTGCAGTTGTCAGTGCAATCAGCGGACATGGACAGTGGGAAAGCAGCATTCACAGCCAGTTGATTTACGGCCATACTGTGTCTATGTCAAAGAGCATATACATTTTGTCATTTAGATAGTAGTAGAGGCTATAATGTCGATGTCTTTAATGGATCGTTTAACAGATAGTTCTATCTCCTATAAATTCTTACACACACTTTCATCTTTAATGGGGTCTTTAAGTCATTAATAATGTAGAATTGAATCTAATGCATCTAGACTTTCCTATACATTTTTACAAATTTTTTCATCTTAAAGGTTGCATGTATTGTATATACTGTATGTATTGTATATATTTTCGCCTTTAATGGGGTCTTTAACTCCTTAGACTACACGTTATAAGCAATACTGAATATAGGCAATACACGGAAATAGTATATTATTTTATTATAATTTAATTTTGTCTGTATAAATTAGCTGAGCTATCTTATTCTTAAAGTCTGTCATTGAACATTATAAAGTAATTTACACCAATTAGTTTGTATTTAGTTGATTAGTTAATATATATTAAA